AGGCGGCTGCATTAATTAGGGAAATGAGGGGGGCCTTCAGGGGGGTGCAAGCTGGGGAGTTGGAGACCAGTACAGATGGCACAAGGCTGGGTTGTTCACTAGGACTGGAGTCAGGAAGGCTGGTGGGGACCAGGCTTACAGGGGGTGTCGATGGGGTTGGCATCCCTTGTGCAGGAGTCTGGAAAGTTAGACTGCCCAATACCCAATCAATCAATGGATTGTAGCAGGTGAGCCAGTCATGTCTGAGGACTATCCTACACTCAGAATCCAACAGGGCTAGATACAGGGTTACTGGGGTGACATTGCCAGACACAAAGCAGATATTGACATCTACTGCTTGGGTTATAGTAAAGGTGGACATTCCATCGAAAAGCTGGAGTCAGATTGGTAAGACCGAGTATGGTGTCAAGTCCAGGCCTACTCTGACCAACTCCAATGCTAAACAAGGTCTAGAGAAGTTCGGAAGCAAGTCTGACAAGAAAGAACAGAACTCCGACTGGCAGAGTAGTGGCAGGAACAAAGTCCACTGAGACAAAGGCAGAGTGGAGTGAGGGCATTGGGTTTAGCTTGTGCGCTACCCCCTTGCATGATTTCAGCTCTTGTATTTCAGAGGGAGAGTACAGACAGAGAGAGTCAGAGGTAACTCCAACAGACAGAGGACAGAGACAGAAGGAGTAGGAACTAAGTTGATATTCATACTGAGGAACAGTGGAGTATGATACATGCTTTTATACTACTATGGAGGTACAGTAACTGGAATCAGAACTGACATACAAAGACCCAGAAATTTTCAAGTAAAACTTCCTAGATGATGAATGAAGGGTAAATGGAGGACATACAAATGGGTAACATAGAACATCCAGAAAAGGAAACAGTCCAGGTGCTGGACCATAGGATGTGCATGCTGTGGAGTACCTGACTGCACACTGTCAGGGAGAAGTCCAAAGGTAGTCACATGACCCCTCAGAGAACAGTCTGCCCAGTCCAGTAGGAGAGCAACACAAGTCTGACAGCAGTTGGAGTGGAGATGGTTCACAACCAACAGAAGTTGGGCAGAGTTGGTGTGGAGTGAGTGGATGACCAGCAGAAAAGGTTGCAGAGTGAGTAAGGACTTATGATGAACGCATGGTTATGACAGTGCCCCCCCCTTAGGGCCTGAACCCCTGAAGGCCACATGTATGGGACGAGATCAACATGAGTTGATCATTTGAAATTATTCTGATGCCTCGAGGATAATGGCTTTAGCTGTGGTGGAGCTCCATCAGAGTTCAAAGTACCACTTAAAAACACGTGTTAGGGTACTGAACCTTCATATCCCATTCCCCATCATCATGTCTTCCCAGTGCCAGAGCAAAACCCCCCAGCCAACCCCCAGCCATGTCCACAACTACTCCCAAGTCATGGATGAGGAACTGGTCATCCTCACAGACAACTCCACCAACACTGAGCAGGAGAAGTCCATGGAGAAGGTGCACTGACAAGAGGAGGCCAAGCAGAGAGAGAGAGAGAGTGCAAGGCAGTGTGCAAGGCCAAGCACGAGGAGGCCAAGAGGTGGAAGGCAGAGGAGGAGCAGTTGGAGGCAGAGTGGAGGAAGAGAGTGGAAGAGGAGGCCCAGAGGAGGGTGATGGAGGAGGAAGAGGCTTGAAAGAAGAAGGTGGCAGAGGAGGAGGCAGAAAGGCAGAGGTGGAGGGCCTCTGCACAGAGGGCTCAGGCCAGGCAGGATGAGGCTGCACAAAGGTAAGTGGTGGAGTACTGCAAGCCAGGTGGAACTGACTCGCAACCTTACTCCCTAGATTATGTGGCATGGTGTACGATGTCAACACTGCCCAGAGGGTCCCTGGGACCTCTGTGGTGGTTACCACAACCAGGAGAGCCCCCTGCACTCGCTGTACAGTGAGTTTGACAGCAGGGCAATGTGAGCCAGGGCAGGGTAAGACCAGGGCCTGTGTGCCCTGCCACAACAAGAAGAAAACTTGCAGCTGGACATGGGAAGAGGTGGTGGCAGGACCCTTGCAGAAGAGGGCAGGGACAGGGAGCTCCTGAGGGGAGAAGAAGAAGCTGTGAGGGAAGGGGAAGGTGAGGGCGATGGAGATGGAGGAGGCAGATGATAAGCAGGAGGTAGGTGGAGAAGAAGATGAGCCTGCGACCCCACTTGAGGGTCCCTCAGGTGCAGGAGTCCACATGCAGGAGCCCTTGGAGAGGTAATGTCTTGGTCAGGGACCACAGACAGGTTTGGATGGTATCCCTTGTTAGTGAAGAAGGGAGAAACTCCAGTTGTCGCACTTGGTGCACTGGTGAAAGTGAACTCCGCTAGAGGTAACAGCTCAGCCTAGTTGTCTTGTTGGTAGTTACAGTAAACACAAAGGTACTGCTCGAGGGTCTGGTTTGTTCACTTGGTCTGGCCATTGCCTTCTGGGTGGTAACCTGAAGTGAAGTGAAGACGCATATCAAGGGCCTTTCCTAGAGAGCAGAAGAAGTGTGAGACGAACTCAGGACTTCTGTCAGAGGTGACATTAGCTGGTACTCCATGCTTGGAGAAGACATGGGTAAGGAAGAGCTTAGTGAGTTCAGTGGAGGTGACAGAGTTGTGGGTGGGGATGAACGCTGCTTGTTTTGAGAGGCGGTCCACTACCACGAGTATGGCAGAGTAGCCATCAGAGTTGGGAAGGTGCTCAATGAAGTCCATGGAGATGGAGTTCCAAGGCCTCTCTGGGATGGGGAGTTGCTTCAGTAGACCATAGGGGCGGTGTTGCAGAGTTTTGCCCTGTCCACAGGTGGTGCAGGACCTGACGTACTCCTTCATGTCAGAGTGGAGGTTAGGCCACACATAGTCCCTGTGGATGAGTTCTAGGGTGCAGTTTTGCCCGAAATGGCCTGCTAGAGGATGGTCATGCTCGAACCAAAGCACTTGTAGGCAGAGATCATCAATGTCAGGGACAAAGATGCATCTGTCAAGGCAGAGTAGACCATCAGAGTCCAGGGACCACTGAGGCTTAGTCAGAGTTGGAAGGTGGCTGGCAGAAACAGGGTCGGAGGGAAGGGCAGAGATGATGTCGGAGTGCAAGCACTCAACATCAAAGACCATGGCAGCATGGAGCACAGGTGCCATGAGGGTAGTGGTATGGAGGGACGACGTGAACTACTCCTGTGTAAACATAGGGCAGAGATTGTGAGGATTTACCTGCATGTAGTCCCTATCCCCCCCTTTTGGGTAGACATCCCAATGTCACATAAGTGTGTCAGGTTTGGCTCCTAGGCAGCCAGGGCAGAAGCGGATGGAAAGGTTGAATTGGGAAAGGTACTCCCACCAGCAGGCCTGTCAATGGGTGAGGACCTTAGAGGTGGAAAAATACTCAAGGTTTTTGTGGTCTGTCACCATGTCAACAGGTAAGGTGGAGCCTTCTAGGTAATGCTGCCAATGGTGGAAGGCCTTGAAGATAGCCAACAGCTCCTTGTTGTGGGTATCATAGTTAAGTTCTGGCATGGTCATGGTGCAAGAGTAGAAAGCGACTGGGCAGAGTTCACTGTCAGAGCAGGTGAGCGATAGAATACCAGCAATGGCATAATCAGAGGCATCAGTTTCTACTGTAAGTGGAGCATCAGGAGCCCAATGAGTGAGAACAGGAGTGGAGCTGAAGGCATTCTTCAGGCGGAGGAAAGCAGAGCAGCACTTCTTGGAAAAGTTCCAAGGAGCACCCTTTCATGTGAGGTGAGTGAGTGGAATGATGATGTTGGAGTAGTTATTAATGAATCAGCTATAGAAATTTGTGAAACCAAGGAAGGATTGGATGTCTCACACCTTCCGTGGCTCAGGCCAGTCATGGACTGCCTGAACCTTCTTGGTGGACATGGTGAGACTGGAGGGAGAAAGAATGTAGCCAAGGTACTCAACAGAGTCAGAGTGAAACTTGCACTTCTCTGGCTTGGCATAGAGACCATGCTTTTGAAGGCAGCAGAGTACCTCTTTTACATGTTCACGATGCAACTCCATATCCTGCAAATAGATTAAGATGTCATTGAGGTATACCACAATGCAGACATCGAGCATGTCTGCAAAGATGCTATTAACAAATTGCTGGAAGGCTGCAGGTGCATTAGTCAGACCAAAGGGCATTACCTGCCACTTGTAACAACCATAATGAGTGTGGAATGCCATTTTCCATTCATCTCCATCTGTGATGCAGACTAGATGATAGGCATGGTGGAGGTCGATCTTGGTGTAGACTTTAGTGTGGCTTGGAGAGTCAAGTAGGTTGGAGGTGAGTGGCAGTGGATAGTGACCTTTTTTCGTGATTTTGTTGAGTCCTCGGTAGTCTATGCAGAGGTGGAGTGAACCATCCTTCTTCTTTATGAAGAGGACAGGTGCACCATGAGCAGAGGTGGACTGTTTGATGAAACCATAGCCAAGATGCTTGTCAATGAAGGTGTGGAGAGCTTCAAGCTCTGGTGGAGACAGAGAGTAGATTGTACCAATGGGTGGAGAAGCTCCTTCCTTGAGGTCAATCTTGAGATTGAATGAGCGGTGTGGTGGAAGTTCCATAGCATTGTCTTTACTAAAGACATTGGCAGGACACAGTGATTTTTTCTCGTGCTTGTCAGGTCACGTTGTTGAACACTTTTTGTGTCTACTGCGTGGATTGGGGGATCTTGGCACAGATGCTGAGGCCTTATATTGCTTCTGACATGAACAGGGGTCGACGAGGGGGTAAGACATCACTAGCTGTGTTGCCAAGATGTTATCAATCTGCAGCCCCCATCGATCGGTGTAAGGGGTGTTGGCGTTGGGGGCCTTCAGGGAGAGCAAGTGAACGCCGCCAAAACACGATCAGCATGCGAGGTCGAGACAGGCTACGGGGTTTGGGGATTATTGGTCAGTAGTTATTCTGGATTCTGGTGGATGTCATTCGACGTTTGGTGGCGACGGCATCTTGCGTTTGGGGTTGGAGTGGGTGTCTCACTCACTTAAAACGACAGGGGAGAGCTCTGTGACGCTGGCAGCGATGTCTACAACAACTGTGTTCGGCTTCTTTGCATTATCTGGCAGCCAGCAAGTGCAGTCATCAAGACCTGGGGTGACGTCGAAGACATACCATTGTTTGTATGACACTACGGTGCAATGTACATCCGGCGCGATCTTTCCTGTGCAGCTTCGGGTGTACAGTCCATTCAACGATACAGTCCATGTCGACGATACTGTCACCTTCGTGGTGGCGAGAACATACATCCCAAAGTGGCACTTCCTGATTGTCCATGCGCATTTGTCTTCGGTCTTGGGATCATAAGCTTTTCTCTCATGGGCAGTTGTACACTGCACTCTCACGTATCCGCCATCGCGAACATGCTCGAGTGCTTCTTCCCCCTGGAGCCAACGTAACCTACAATGTCACCTTCCCAGAAATCCTACTTTAACTAGGTAGCATACTAAAGTTGCAGGCAGTCGTGTATCCTTAGCATTCAGCATCGTTTATTTGCGATTGAACACTGAGTACTACTACATTTCAAACTCCACTGCCGGAGCGAAGCGAGGCAGCCTCTCAGTAGTGTTTGACCCATAATATGTTGACGAAGTAAGTATGAAGAAGAAGAAAAAAGTAAATAATATTTGTTCTCCGACAGCCACGATTTTCATGGATTTCATTGCATGTAGTGTATTGAGTCCCTCAATCAGTCGTATTTAACCAAAGCCTCTAGCGTTGAAAGTTTAAGAGCTTGGGAAAACTGAATTGTGAGAGTAGTCTGGACCCTGCTGAGAGAGAATAAGAAGCTGCAGTACATTTTACGCCCTACATGTTCCGTGACATGGCAGCCAGCTCGGAAGTGACTGGTGGGACAAACCCTACTGACAAAGAAACCTGACAATTGGTTCGCAAAGGGCACGGACACAGAAATGGCAGAGAAACTACTTACTTTGTATAGCCAAAGACATGATAAATAAAACCAAGGATTTTCGCAGTACCAGCACTGGCCACCATGGCGCTGTACAGGCTAAATAGAGTACAGTAATGTAGTCCGTTCCTACTCAGTCAACTAGCCAACCAGCGATGGGCAACACTGCAAGAAAGGTGTGTAGCCAGATGAGATTTAACTGACAGATCAGAGCTGGTATGAAAGCAGCGAGGTAACGGCAAGGTAGGCTCTTCCATGCTATTCACAACACCGCTGAGAAGATGAGTCATAAAACTGGGAAGTGTAGGTGGTATTTACCCAAAAACCGATGGCATGAACAGGGCAGTGAGAACATGAGGCGATCGCAACAAATCGGTAATAACAGAAAGCAGAGAAGTTTCCGCACAAGGGCGGCTTCGGAATCTTGTAGCATCCCAGCCAACGACTGACGATGTGAGATTCAGGCATGATGATGATGAGTCCAAGTTCCAAAACATTTGTTTGGTCAGATATCGCTGTCGTCACCATCAGGACAAAGTCTGATGGAATGGAAGTCAGTGGACGTTGTACGTCTGTTACCAAACAGGCCGCCGACGCTGACCCAGTTGGTGGGTGATACGCAACCCATGGGTCGACGCCCCATGCGATAGCTTCATGCCTTTTGATCACGAGAAGACGGGCAAGGAAATCCAATGCCGCACATATTGATCCGAAAATGAATGGTCCAGTGGAAGCCAAAACAAGAATAAAATACAGCTCCCACTGGGTTCACGGGAACCTACTGCCAAACATTCCGTCCGGACATCCACAGAACCGCTGGTCCGGAATGGGAGAGCATTGCAAAGGTTCTCACAGACCAGGACTTGCTTACGTGTCCTGGAATACGAAACTTAGGAGCACCTCTGAGTTTGGAGTGGTACAGGAGAAGGACTAAATTTCACCAATCGACAGTAATTGTCATCGACTAGGGAAATGCTATTATGTAAGCCTAATCTCTAAAGCAGTGCAGGGCAGACGAACCTGGAAGAAGAGAACGACAACGATGCACGACATCAGAGCCTTGCTCGAGTATGAAAGCCATGGTCAGCGGGGTTGCTGCAGCGATACGAAAGAGGATGTACTTGAACCGTAGTTGATCATTATCTTGAAAATGATTTGCAATTTTGCACGGATGAACGATCGCAATTCCGAAACCAACGCCTTTGTGTTTGAGCGAAGACGTGATCATATCAGCGCTGAATCGGAGCATGTAAACGTGTCGGCGACACGACACAAATCGGGTCTGTGGTCACATGGCCGAATGCTGGATGTGAAGATGTGAAATGTGAAGAGTGGGAGCCCCCATTTCAAACCACTTTCATGAGAAGGGAATTCACGCTCCTCGTGTATCGCTAGTCGAAGCTGGCACTAGGTAGGAGGCTCTTTTCACTTCTGTCATTGACTGATGCCACAGAGAATTCCACGGAGTCTGCCATGCTGCCTACTCTCGCTAGAATACTCGGGTGGGGACAAGAAATCCATTTTTATGGCCGTAGTCCGCGAGATGATTATCCTGCGAGAGCCAGCAGTGGCCCCAGTGAATCCACTGAAGCGAGGTCATGGGAACTGGGGAGACTGTGTTTGGTGGCTCAAACAGCAAGGGAACGAAATTTGCACGCAGGGTGAGTCAAGCAATGCCAGAAGAAACGGAGGATTATCGTGCAGTGGTGGAATATCATATCACAAAGAATGGTGTATTATCATACAGCAGTGGAATACGACATACTTTAAAACCGATACCAAGCACGAGTGTTGGAAGAGCAACGTTTCAGTAAGAAATACTTCAAACAGGAAATGTGTTGGCACGTACCCTTCCCTGGCCAGACATCTCATTCTTGCGCGTTTGAGGGCGCCCTGTATAGCTGCAGATGTCAGGATGGATAATCTCCATCTTATACGAATTCAACTCGTCCTTGATCCTCTGCACCAGTGTCGGAGTGAGATGACTCCACGTCACAGGTTCACTTCGTCGATCGTAGACTGCCGAAGAGAAAGTATCGTACACTGACAAGTTGTTCGCAAAGACGAGTCGTTACTGGAACTAGAAAGAATAACTGGCAAGGACGAGTTACCTCCAGCAGCAGCAATCCCACTATTGCCACCGCTGTGCTGCGACGTCGATGAGTGCGAATGGTGTCGATGTAGTCCGTCTATCTGCTCTGGATCGGGAGAGGGTATACGTGCCAAGGGACTGAGTTGCGGCGTCGACCCTGGATGAGAGCTGTACGAGCTGGACTGGATACCGTTGAATGCTGGGTTCGAGACCTGGTCCTGGATATAGGCTTCTTGGTCGTAGTTGTTGGCACCTGGATGTAGCACATTAGGGGGCGAGGAGTCAGAATGTCATAGATAAGCTGAAGGGCATGGTGGATGAGAGGGAGATGTTATCGGTTGACGCGTTGAGACACGCGCTGAACAGAGAGGCTGCGTGGGATCGTTTTTCGGGGGTGCACCCGCTACTTCGCTGCCATTGGCGATGGTGCTCGATGCGTCAGTGGTATCGGTGGATGTACTGGGATCGAGGGACCGCCATTTTTGGCAGGAGCAGTGCCAAGAGAGATGCCTTCAAGCATGGTTGCAAGATCTGAGTCATCGCTGGAGATGCGGTTATCGGTAGGATGAGGGTGGGGTTGAGAATGGGCGTGGGATTGTTTGTGTGATTGTGATTGTGGGTTGGAAGTTGAGGAGGCGTGTGGGATTGTCGAGCCCTGTGAGTGCGGTGATGGATGAGACGGTCGGGCCTGGGAGTAAGAATGTGAGTGGGAGTGGGAGGACGAGGCTGAGGAGGACATGGACGAGAGCGATGTGAGCCAACGGTTTCAATGAGTAGGGTGAAACGGACAACAGCCGCTGGTCAACTGTTTTAACAAGCAGCGAAACCATGAAGACCTACTACATGATACGGGCGACAGATGTCTGCCAAACGGTCTCATGAGCAGGGCGAGCGGGTCGGGGTGGGTGAGTACCTGTTCAGTGAAACATGGCAACAGACGTTGGCCAATTGTTTCAACAAGTAAAGAAACCCATGAAAAGCTACTACATGATATGGGTGACAGATGTCAGCCAACAGTTTCACAAGCAGGTCGAGGAGGTTTGGGTGCATAAGCACCAGCTCACAGAAACGCGCAACAGATGTTGGCCAACTGTTTCAACGAGCTGAGAAATTGTGAACACTTACTCCATGATATGGGCGACAGATGTTGGCCAACGGTATCACAAGTAAGGCTCAGTGAAACGGGCGACAGATGTCGGCCAGCGGTTTCAATGATCCTGCAGAGTTAGTATTAGAAGCTGCCGAGATTTGAACATGCATGACGTACTGTGGTCGGTTAGCTTGTATGGACTTATTTTCTCATCAACATCGATATCAATATTTTCTTGTTGCGCTGCAAAAAAAATGTTTGTGACGGATGTGGCAAGAACGCTCAGATTTTAAGTGGATTCGAGGGAGATCCTGCTGAGGTTCATGTCCACCTTGGATTTGATTCGGATGGTCTCAATCTTACCAGATTCTTCCGTGGTCCGACGCAGGTTCGACACGGATCCATCTCGTGTAGAATTCAGAGGTTGAGGAAATCGAACACCCTATGTGGCGTGTACTCTGGAGCCTGAGATCGTCAACTCGCAGTACGAAACAAGTTTCATTTCCTTCAGGAATGCTCATATCAGATTTGCTCTATTACAGATATTTATAGGCGGATGGGCTCATCTAATTGAGTTTCCATCTGTTCTGCTACCCCCAGGAATGACCACCGGGACCATCGTCAACATCGCTGTACACCAGAACCTCTCCAAAGAACGCAAACGCGATCAACATTTTTGGCAACTACAACATGTCATTTTGGAGACATTCGGATGTGTCTTGCCAGAGCCTCCCCGCCTCGAGGTAAATTATACTAAACATATACCGTTTCCTCTCCATGCCCTTCAACTGACCTACCTCACCGTATTATTTATTGCCTAGGTTCGCAATGTCACGCAGACATCTGTTATGCTAGAGTGGCCTCTTATCAAACTTGCAACCACTAAACTACGGTCATTGGATATATACAAAACTTCGCAGCGCATCGCCGCAATTCCGAGTCCGGTCACCAACACATCGACAAAGCTGTCCAGCCTTTCCCTCGAGAACAGGCATGTGCCTCAACTCTCTTCAACATCATCTACCTCAGGTCCACTCAGACGTAGGGAACGATTGTCTACCATTGAGTCTTTGGTCTGCCTACAGGAGACTAACTCAGACGTGGCTCCGACGCATCCCGTAGCATGCCTCGGCCCACTTCTCCCCCTTCGTACATGTCTCCGAGTCCCTATTCATCGAGGAACCTCACCGGAAGGTGGACGCCAGGTGACCAGCCCCACTATTTCGGTGGAGTATCGTTTGCCTTCAAGTCTATCCGGTTATGATGTTGGTTCGCCTTTGTCTTCAAGCCATACCCTTCCTTCTCCAACACCCACACAATCCCGTAATGTCGCCTCGCCCACATTTGTTGCTTCTGACCCAAATCCCATCATTTCGCGTACGCATGCCGTTTTCGTGCGATTTTAAATTCACCTTCCTGCGAAGCAAGGTTTCTGGATATTACCGGTAATGCCCTGTGGTATACCGGTATTTGCCGTGCCCTCACAGCCCCGGCGGTCCAAGCGTTCGATATCACGGGTCAATATCACCACTCTGTTAACTCTCAGTTTCCGCCCAACACTTGGTAGCAGCCTGACAATCACCCAGTCCATGCCCTCTTCCAGAGGGCAGGTGGGGACAATGGCATCACCTACACTTCAGTAGGGTCTCCCGGTAAGTGGCCTTGCTCACACCCACGTTCCACTAACACACCCACCACCAGAATGGTCCAAAGGGTTCTCCGATCCTGGATCCATGCAAAACATGCCCCAGGCTTGACTTGACGCCCTCAATAAAGCCATTGCGGCTGGCAAGATTCCCAATGTTCCCATCACCACTGCCCCCCCTGGTTCCAATCCGAAATACCCTGACAGCTATGATCCACTGAGTCCTGACGTATGCTCTGCCACCTACCAGTGCAGGATTCCGGGAGATATATGGGATGGTCCCAATAGTTACCTTAGCCTCAACTTTGATGATGGTCCGCTGCCAGGGAGTGGTCATCGCGGACTGTGACTTCTTCTTTCGCCTTTTATTCATAACTCTACAGCCATCCCCCATGCTGTACAAATTCCTCAAGGAGAAAGATCAACACGCAACACACTTCTACATCGGCATCAACATTCTTCAGTATCCCGACTGCTTCGAGATGGTGTGGGACAACAAGGACGATATTGCCGTTCATATGTGGACTCATCCTTACATGACCACGAAGATGAATGAAGAGGTCCTCGTGGAACTTGGATGGACGATGCAGCTCATCCATACCTCGATGGCGGCATGAGTGCCTAAACACTGGAGGCCACCCTACGGCGATTCCGATATGCGTGTCTGTGTGATCACCAATGAAGTATTGGGTCTCACTGCCGTGATTTGGAACAAGGAGTAAGCTGTCATACTCCTTTTTGACCTACCTTACTGTGTATCTCTCCATCCCTTATTACCAATGATTGGAGTCTCTCAGATCCGGTTCCTATCACAAGTATGGACAATATCGCTACCCAAATGCATACGTGGTTGACCGGTAAATTTCCCACCACCATCAATCATTCCATAAAGCTCAGACAACAGCATCATCCCAGGTCCCAAGAAACCCGGTCTCATCATCCTCGAGCACGAGATCTCTAACCAATCAGTGCAGGCCTTCATAGATGCTTGGGATCTGGTAGTCAGCAACGGGTGGAAGACGATGTCCGTCGCACAGATGGGAGGTGCTAGCGCATACCAGAACTCCTGGAATACGACTTCTCCGGTCACCCAGGCTGGGGTCGCTGACCTTTCGGTCCACCCACCGCCAGTGCAAGCGGTTGCATCCACTATGTCAGAGGTCATTCTGGTTGCCCTGCTCACTCACTCAACCCCTATTCTATTGTAGGTCTAAAGTCAAGGTCATGTCGTTGCCGTCTGCCACTGCTAAATCCAGTCGACCTAATAGCATAGGCAGCTTCTGTATAATTCACAAAATAGAAGATGATTAATGTGTGCGCTCATCTGAGTGAGAGAATGCAAACAGCTCCGACAATTCGCAAGCAAGGTTTAGGCCACCGGCAGGCGGCATTTCCTGAGTCATTTTGGACAGGCCCACTGAGTGACTTGAAAACGATGTGATAAACGGCTTGGACATTTTCACAGGCGCCAGTGCTGACTCAGCCTGTCAGACATCATTTCCCAACATGCCAGAACAGGGTGGGGAGCACTGATTGATTTCTGTGAAGGGGAAAAATAAGCGGTATGTACTGAGTTTGGTGTTTCTGGCATTACCCATACCCAATCTCGCGCTGCTTCCATTCACGAGTCCATGTACTCGAACCGTGTCTCGTGCATTCATCGTGCTGCACGTAAAACTACATACATATCTCCTTGAGGTTTTCACAGGTTTTCACTTGGATTTCCCCCGCATCGGTTTCAATTGGCCAGGACTTACCTAATACCAGACAATGAAAGCGAAAATGCCATTGTTGATCGAAAACGTGCCATTGACGAGTGCAGTTAGGCCCGATAATCTACAACAAAGGCATATCCACACCGTTGCGAAAATGGAAAGTGTGTCTTCCAATACTACCGTAGGCGACGTTTACCTTGGCATGGATTTTCTGCACATGAGCAAGATACTGACCTTGAAGCTTGACCAGTTCAGTCTACGACCTCTTGAGCAATTCCCCTATCTGGAGGCTGCTTGCTTGCAGGTTTTGGTTATGGTAGAGGATGAGTTGCACAGGGTCGATGCCATACAGCAGGCTGCTTGGAATGGTTTTCCGAGGAGGGACCTTATTGCAAACTCGGGACAGATCCAAGGTGTGGGGCGGTGTGAGGGGGCCATACAGAGTGATGGTGATGAACAGAGCGAGGAAGTTGAGAAGAGTTCGTATGGTTCGCCCAACAAGGAGTCCTGTGTTTTTGTCAACACAGGTAAGCAAAATACCACCTTTTGCTATGTTTTCTGAGTATATTCAGAAGATGCCTATTTCCAAAGTATTGGAGTGTCCCACCCCACTGCTGTAGCGGGTAGTTTCTTGATTCTTTGCTTGAATCTCCTTTGTGGAATATCCCAAATGCAAAGCAGGTTTGTCTCTGACAGCCTGAGCTTTATGATGTCCCATGTCATCAACGACATACAAGCTTTTGCAGATAGAAGATCCTTGCTGAAATTCCCGAGAGTTTAGTCTTTTCCTCCTTTTTTGTTTTTCTGCAAAGTTGGCTTAAGGACAAAAAGTAGTTGACAGCATGGTGTGTGCATGAATGGTAAATATATGACTGATGCGAGGCTTACAGGTACATATTATGCCTTTGTTTGCTTTGCCCCTCCTGGCCTGCTCCTGTCATCTCACTAGGTGGGCCATTTTCATATAGGTACCTTTTCCTTACCCTCCTGACCTGTCTCTTGTCCATCTTGCTAGCTAAGTTATTTTTGATCACCTGGCCCATCTGCCATTTTTCTCATTCATCTCGCATCCTTACACGTTTGGCTTTGTTTTTTGTCATGATTCCTCTGTATGATATTACTTTTGTGCCTTTCTCTCTGCAATTCATCCAGGCTGCAGATGCTACACACTGCAGCCTTTCTTCACTATCTGAATCCCTTTCGTACCTCAAAGCATCCTGGCCACATCAGCAAAACAATGATTTTCCCACAGTGTGACAGCTGCCACAGCATCACATGGTAGCACAGAGTGAACTTAGACATGAAATGCAGCTCTACATAACACTTAAACTGCTACACTAATGTATGAAACTGATTGCTTAGCTTGAGTAGATTCTAACAATACCATTTTTGTGCCCCAAAATGTGGTATTTAAATTTTTTTGCTCACTGTACAGAGGGGGACCTTTCTGTGACACTGTGGTGGGCTGTGTGGCTGTACAAGTGCCACAGTGTCACAGAAAACATGTTGCAAGACATCCCCTGTTACCTTGAAGAACATGGGCCAAACACAGATGAATTGGTGAATTACATTTTCCCTGCAGATCTTATGGCTCAACCTGATGTGTGCATGAGATGTGCCATACTATGACCTACCAATCATCAAGTTGATGACACCTACAACACTATCATGCTCAGCTGCCTTCAAATGTCTTCCATATCCTACCTTGCCCCTGACTCACTGAAAGAGGCTAACAATGCTGGGTTGGTGTCTCCTCAAGGTACTATGTTGGATTACATTGCCTCACATCCACCTCCTGGACTCCTACCACACTCTTTAGCTGTATGCATTGGTGGTCTTTATTGTCTCATGCAGAACTTTTCAATCAATCAGGGACTAGTGAAAAACTGTCACATCATTATCACTGCCTCTGGATGTTAGCTGATTACTGTATGCATCATTCATGCTCAGAGAAAACATTGACCATGACCCTTTGACTGTGGATCTCTCACAGGACAATCCTGTACAGCTGGCTGCATTACTGAAAAAGTTCCTATGAGAGTTGCCAGAACTGTTGATGACATTCAAACTGTAAGTAAGGGACAAGATTTAATTGAAAAAAAATAGTAAACAGATTTAAATAAGAACAATACCTACCAGTGAGTTTGATGATTCTCTGAGTCCCATTGCTTTCAAGGCTTTGCCTGCCTCTCAACCTACTTGCCTATGATCTCCTGGCTCAAGCATCCTGGTGTATGGATGCCTGTACTTGATGCCTATTGTAATTGTAGTACTGAATTTATTTTCATGCATTATAACTGAAAGAGAAGCATGAATGCCTGTATTGAGTTGAGGCAACATATATTGATGCTTGTGGTTACATTGTTCTAAGATATTGAATCAGTCCCTTTGAGAGGCACAAAGGAGTCTTTGAACACAGGTCATTCAATGCACACAGTATGTAGTATTAAGTAGTGGACTACTGTATAGTTGTAGATCTTGTGACTGCCATTGCTTTCAAGTGCATTGCCACTTCAAGCCAAGCTGATCAGACTACCATCTGAGTGTCATCTGAGTATCTGGCAAAATGAGTGGCCAATTTTGAAACTGGGGGTGCATGGATATAGTGGCCTGTGGGTGGTGATGGAACTAATTCTGCAGTGTTTGTAATTACAATTGTGGCTCCCCCTCATCCTCATCCTGCTGCTCCTGCCAGTGGTTGTCCCATGCATGGTCTGAGCCTCCCTATACCAAGTGCAAATGCTTCCCCTACAGCTCTTCTTTAAATACAGCTTAGTACCAATTTAAGTGCCTTGAGGTCAAAACCTATGTGTCAGGACCACTCACTCTGACAAACTCTGACACTGCCAGAGGGCTAGAATCAAAGTGCAGAGGAAGTCTGACAAAGCCAAGAGGCAGAAGTGGAGTGAAGGCATTGGGTTCAGCTTGTGTGCTGCTCAAGTCTTGTAGGCAGCCAAAGGTGGGTTTCAAGGCTGCAAGAAAATTACAGTTTGGTGTCAAATCTGGTCAGCCTAAAGTGGATATGAAGTGCACAGCACCCCAAGATGAGCAGCAGCACGAGAACCTATGTGATGACTCAGAAGAAGAGAACATGTCTTTGTATGACACTGCAGATCACAGCACAGTGCATGATATAGCAGATGATGATGTCATGGAGGAACCAACTCACTCTGCTCAATCAAGATTCCCCTTCCTCTGGTGCAATATACAAAAAGGATTCAAAGTCAGATGCAAGATGCTTGGGATTAATCCAGTCATCACTGGCACATCCCATTTCTATCACATGTCCATGCCCCCCCCCAATGGCACTGAAGAGCAGGAAGTGGCATCCACTACCAGTAGGACCACTGTTCAGTCATGGTCTTGTGTCATGTGTGATTTGCATGGTACATTCAACAACCACACAGTACTTCACAAGCATCTCAGCTGGGACCACCCAGAAATTAATGTGAAGTGGAACACAGTGAGTGTTGATGCTTGGGTCACATGCTCCATCTCAAGCACTCCTAGGACTACAGTGAGTTGTTGCTCTTGAAGCATCCCTTGTACAAGCTCAGCCTTCAGATTTCAGAGTGGAGGTTGGAAGAGTGTTAGAATGGTGAGAGGGGAGAGGGGAGATTCAGAGGGATGGAAGGCAGAGGCCAGAGGACTGGATGCATTGCATGATTATATCAGCATAATTTGTGAGCTCTACAACAACACTCAACTACCATTGTCAGTACCAACCCACCACCACCACCACCACCACATGATGACAATGACAGCCTGGAACATGTAATAATATACTCAATATTTCATCCAGAAGTAATTTTTGATGTTTTGATCTATGATTTTCATGTGGAAAGACTTTATATCTGATTTGATTTTTTGTTGAAAAATATTTCACTGCATATTACATGTTTGTGCATAAAAAAGGCAGAATGTTTTTCAGATGAGCTTTAGCACACAATTCATTATTGCAGTACAATATTTGGGCTAAGTAAATACTTT